TGTGGGTTTCGGGCTGATAGGGAATAAATAAGGGCATACACTATATAGAGATTATAGAGGGATTCTATACCGTTATTCCCTACTGACCACCAGTAAGTCTAGCCTGCTAGAGAATGAAACTGATTCCCAGACATGATCCAGATTGTACTAGAAATCCAATTTGTGGAACATAGAGCTTCAGCGAAACACAATTTCAAGAATGACCTACACTATGAACCAAAACCGTGTGTTACAACAACACGTATAAAACAAACGTTACAAAACATGACCAAGACTCTGGAAGGGAGGAAGGGAAGCCAGGCGCTTGGGGACCTCGCCTGGTTCGATTTGGAAGGTTTAGGGAAAAGTTACGGATTCAGTGGTAAGGTAAGGGGGAAGGAACGGAAATGACCATGGACACCACGATCATGTGTATACATGGCTTAGGGCTAAGGTCTTAGGAATGAAGGAATGGATAAAAAGATGCACACTACTACGGGTCAAGGGTAAAGCACTTGTGGTTTTGGGTTAGACCCCACCCCGTGGTAGTGACAATGGATAATGGTGACCATATTGGGGTCCTCGTTTATGCCGCTATTACAGGGTTATGGGTCTGCCCTCTATTCTATGGTCTATCCGTTCTGCTTTGAAGCTCAGGGTCTTCAGGTTGTGGTTTCAAAGCTTGGGATCTGGCAGTCTGAACATGAAATGCCACAGCAACAGTGCTCGAGCCCATCGTGGGGCTCCTTCTTTGGCTTCAGGCCGTGTGCAAGGTAATTCTGCAAGGCATCTTTTTTTGCATATTTTCTTGTACACAGTTTGGGAGGAACAGATGCAATATCATGCAAGAAACGGTCTTGTTACCCTTGTGGACCTTGCGGACTTAATGACGCTCCCGTTCACACCTTTTGCTGTTGTTGAGCTGCCGAGCCCGTCAGGCTTCGTCAGACTCCGTACTGCGCGCTACATGCCCCCTCCTACTATCCTCATCCTCAGCCTTCTTCCAACCTGCTAGACGACCTGCTAGACTCACAAGCCCCGCATCCGCTGCTCTGCCAGTGGGCAACGCTGCAATGAACAAACATCTTGAATCCTGTATAGAACTGACGTCAACCAACATCACAGTGATATTGCCCATTGCAGCAACTTAGGTTCACCTGCAGCCGACCTGGTGTCGAAGTGCCATTACATGCCCCCATGCTTGCAAAAGCCATGGCAAGCGCATCTCCTTCATCCGTATACTCTCTGATTGTTAGTAAGGAATGGGTGAGGGGATCCTATGCAGCCTCTATAAGATCCTTTGTTTTCCATTCTTCCACTGACTGCTAACGTCCAGCAAATGCAATGTTTGCGCGCGCGCGCGCGCGGCGCGCGGTCCACGGAACCCACCCGTTGATTGCACGAACAATCTTCGGTTTTACCCTTTGGATTCGATATGCGAAGGCGCTCAGACCGCAAGCACGACAAGAGTGAATAGTTCCTATCGATGCTTGGACTCCGAACACCTGCACCAACAAAGCGTCAAGTAGTTTTAACTTAAGGAAGCTTCAATCCAATTTCCACCCAAGGCACAGAGTTCACAAGCCCACTGACCTAGGATTTCATGCTCTGAAATCCTCAGCACTGGCTTTGTTCTAGAAGCTTACATCACTACATGGACTACATGTGAGCGGCAAAACAATGATGCCATTCCTTCGGCTGAATACATGGACTCTGGCTTTTGGAGAGATCCGATATGTCTATCAAAAACAAAGTATGAAAATCCACACTTCTAGCGCACGCAACGACTCTCAACCGAGGCGTCTCCACATTTTGGCGAGATTTCTTTGTTGATTTCTGGTACTCCTTTTCAGTATTGCAGTCGCAGTCCCTCACGTTGAAAAACCCTCGACCCTCAGCTCCACACTCCAGAGCCCAGACCCCAAACACCTTGTCCAACTTGCCTCTCCGGCTCAGCAACCACTGCAGTGACAGTGGCCGTGATTGGGGCTGGCTCCACAACCAAAATCATCGCGGACAGGCACTTTCCCTCGCAGGGATTTCTAGGAGTGGTAGGCTGTTTTAGGGACCACTTTATTCTTGGTTTAGGGCTTAGGGTTTAAGGATGTCTAAGGTTTACTTGCTGGTGGTTAGTAGGGAATAAGAAGGGCATAGCATCCCCATATAATTTTTTAGATGTTCCCTTTTTAACCCCCTGCAGAAGCGTGGAGACTCGCTGGTTGCATGTTCGATGTGGGGCTCAGGGAAGCTACGGAAGATCCACCCTTGTGCCATTCACATTTGTATAGCTAAGGCTTATTGCCTCTTTCGACATCCCTTATGGGATTGACATTCTCAGCAAAGATCCGCATAGGGTAGAGCCCATGTGTGATAAGACTTTGTTCCGCTGTTGAAAAAAATTCGTTGAGCCTCATTAGCTGTGTGCCATGATTGCATAAGACAGTTGGGGCATGGAGATGAACTCTACAGATGCTGATCGATTCAGCATTCCTCAGGTTATGAGTGCCCAATCTGCTACCGCTGCAGAAAATTCTGGTGCTTCGATTCTGACCAACGGGATAATGGGTTCCGTTTCTGGGGTTGGTGCATCAGCTGGACCAAGAGGGTCTGAGGAAACAAATCAATTCAATGGGCCCGTGGGCAGCTATGGTTCAGTAAATGTGACTGGAACGTTGCTGGATGGTGGAATGAGATCCACTGTTGAGTCTGGCGCAAGAACTGGTCGTCGTGATACTATAGACACTGTAGCTAATTTCCAATCTGTGGATTCGTTGCCTGGAGCTGAAACAGGTGCTGAGCAGGGGAGTGCGGGAAGGGCATTCTTGATCAGTCAATCTGCGGTAGTCGGCGACGGACGTGGACTTGGAGACAACCAGGGACGGGTCCCTGCAGAATTGACACCAAGGCGGACTGAGGGAAGAATTTCTTCCTTGTCGGCATGGACAACAAATTTGGAGTCTGCGCCACCGGGCTTCAGGTGGATGTCGAGGGTGGGTGAATTTCTGAGGACTAGGGCTGAACTGATGCCGAGTCCATTCCCTGGGCCTTCACCTGATAGGGAGTCGTCAGCAGCTGGGTCACAGGCGCAGGTTCGTCCCTTGACGCCTCCGCGGAGATCTGGGTTGCAGGGTCTTCCTGGAGCTAGTATCTTCAATAATAATGAACCCCCAAGTTCATCCTCCGGAGTCCCTTCAGAAGTGATTCAGGAAGAGGTGCAGCGCCAATTACGGGTTATCCTAGGGAGATTAGAAGCCTCAGAATCCCATAATCGCCTGCTGCAAGCACAACTTGAAGCGATGCAGCAGCAAGCTCAGGCATCACAGCTAGAAGCCATTCAGCATCGCGCTCAAGCAGAATCGCTAGAAGCCAGCACCCGACAAGCTCAAGCAGAATTGCTAGAAGCCAGACAGCACCACAATAATGCAGCACCGCTAGAAGCTGGCCAGCCTCGCGCTCAAGCAGAATCGCTAGAAGCTAGCACGCAACAAGCTCAAGCAGAGACGCTAGAAGCCGGTCCAACTGTCACGAGCTCAGCGCATGCGAGTGCTGGTGGAGCCACTAGCTTGAGAGAGCCTGGTGTGGCTGCAGCAATTCCTTCCCAGCCAATTCAGGGTTTTGCTAATAGGGTCGGTCTACTCCAAGGGTTGTTCGCTCACCCCAAAGAGTCTAACCCCCAAAGGGATAATCCAATGAGGAACAATCCTGGAGGTGCCGGCGGAGTAGGGGATAGTCAACCAACTAGGGGTGAGGGTACCAATAGTCCCGAGCAACCCGCAAGTTCTGGGAATCCATTGCTTGACATGTTGTCGAGGAGTGTGCAGCAGTTGCAAACGTTGCAGGAGCAAGCGCTCACTAAGGATCATGATAGCCCCACAGCTCAAGAGAACGTGAAGCCTGGCTCAACAACCCTACCTATCCTGCCATTGGCAAAGGACGAACTGTCATCCCTTCAGTTTCAGGATTGGATCGAGCTGGCTACAATTTCCATGTGTGACCTGTCAGACAATAGTGCAAAATGGTGGGCATCACTTCTGGAAGCAGTAGAGGACGCCTATACTCGTTATCTGTCAGCCACGCCTATTGAAAGATTGTCTGTCAAGCCTGTTTCCACGGAACTGACAATGGGGAAGTGGACTAGAGTCAACGTGAGAGCATGTTCGATGTTACTTGCGGCGGTTGATGAGACAGTCAAGCAAGACTTGATATCCCGTAGGATTTCGCAGGACATGGTTCAGTCAGTCTACAGATTGTATATCATTTATCAGCCGGGCGGATCTGCGGAAAAGAATCATGTCTTGGGTCAGCTCCAGCAGGTGGCGATGCCAGGAAGCATATCGGAGTGCCTAGTGGCCCTTCGTGCTTGGCCAAGGTGGTTGAAGCGCTGCAGACAAGTTGGTCTTTCGTTGCCTGATCCCACGGTGCTGGCAGCCAATCTTACACGGATAACCTCACCTTTCTTGGCAGCTCATCCCGACACTAATTTTAGGACCCAATTGTTGAGGACCACCCTTAGGATAGAGGCATCTCCAACTCTTGAGTCGGTGGAAGCCTATCATAGCCATCTCCTGGCAGAGGTAGAGATGATCCTGTCATCGGGTATTGCCACCAAGGGTAAGCCAAGCATAAATTCCATGGAAGGACAGACCTCAACTTCGCCCACGTCGAGTCCGTCAAGGGGATCAAAAGGAGATGCTCCATGCAAGTACTTTGCGAAATCCAGTGGTTGCCGCAGGGGGAACAAGTGTCCATACTCACATGACATGCAGCAGTTCTCAAGAGAGGTTAGGGCCAAGAAGTGCCTGTTATGTGGGAGCGAATCTCATCGTAAGCGTGAGTGTCCAACTTTGGAGTCGGGCGCAAAGTCAATTGGGAAGAGAGAGGAAGGTTCTGCTAAGGGTAGACAGCCAATTCCTCCATCATCCTCCTCAGGATCTCCAACTGTGGCGGCTCAGGTTGTTGCAGCTGGGGAAGAGAAAAAGGGCATCGCGAGCGAGGTCCTTCAGGGTGATGCGTCTCAGCCCATGACTATTGAGAGCTTGATTAAGGTTGCTCAGCAGATTGTGCAGGGACAGCCTACAGGGTCTTCTATGAGTACTGGTGATCCTTCGTCTCCTTCGTTGCGTGTGATGCGCATGGTAAATCCTATTCATGGATCAGATGGGACAATAGTGAAGGCAACAGCACTTGTGGACTCTGGAGCCACCCATCCGCTGCGGAAGGCAGCCTCTAGTGAGGAGTGGGAAAATGCACGAGCTGTGACTGTCAATCTAGCTGGGAATCGCTCTGTAGAAATGAAGCTTACAACATCTGGTACTTTGCTGCTTCCGGTTTCGGAGATGGGCTCATCAACAATCCTTCCTGTGGGCGACCTCATCCAAACGCTGGGGTACAAACTAGACTGGAATCGCAAGAGCTGTAGGCTCATAGCGCCTGATGGTGAGTCGATGAAGCTCAGCATGAGGGATGGCTGCCCTCAACTTCCAGAATACCAAGCCCTAAGCTTGATCTCCCGCTTGGAGGAGCGTAAGCTCGAGCAGTTGAGGAATGTGACTTTGGAAGCCGAGGATGCAGTTCGTGCGGCGGCTTTGAGGATGGAGCGCAGTTGGTTTGATTCCCTTCTTGAGTTCTGCAAGGGAGATCTTTCTGCAGGGCATATGGCCGTGGATAAATCACCATTCTTTAAAGATGTTCCAGAACCCTCCAAGGCTGGCTTGATTACTACTAGCGATCTCTCCCGTGGATGGGAATTGATGAAAAGAGTGACCTGCTGGAAGAGGAGTTTCAGGAGGAGACTTCTCCAATCGAATTCATGGGTGATACACTTCTACTCTGGAAGGAGTTCCAACCCAGCCTTCAAGACCTTGGATGCGGGCGGTAATGTACTTCTAGAGATTGACATCTTGAACTCCTCTGCATTAGATGTGGGTGCGCAGGCGCTGTGGGATGTGATCACATGGGCGTGTGCTAATGGCAAGGTGTCGGCAATCCTGGGAGGACCACCGTGTAAAACATTCTCAAGGTTGAGACACAAGCCTCCCGGACCACCGCCAGTAAGAACTAGATCATGTCCGTTTGGATGGGAAGGGCAGTCAGAGTCCGAGAGGGAGGAAATGGTCAAGGACACGCGGTTGTTTTGCGGAATGATATGGGCACACGCACTTGCGGTTGCTGGAAGGGTCAGTCACTCAAGGGAGCATCAAGCTGTTGATCCTCAGGTGGCCTTTCTGTTGGAGCAGCCAGCTGATCCTCAGGAGTACGTGGCCGAAAGCGACCCGGTTTTCTATGAAGTGCCTAGTTTCTGGGCAACCTCCTTGTGGCAGCTGTATTCGCAAGAGGCAGGCCTAATGAAGGTCTCCTTTAATCAGGGGGCAATGGGACATATCACTCCTAAACCAACTTCCCTTGGCACGAACTTGGTGGAATTGAGTGTTCTTCAGGACATGAAGGAGCAGGGTCCAATGCCCAAATATCAAGGACCGTCTCATGCTTTGGCTACGTGGTCACCGGGTATGTCATGGGGAATTGCTTTAGCTTTGAAGCGTTGGTTGCAGCGTCCCAAGCTTTCAGCGCTGACTCGTGAGCAGTGGCAGCAGCACATTAGAAGAGGTCATGTTCCGTATGAAAAGACATGCGAGGTGTGTGTGACAGCATCTGGCACGGGAAAGCGTCATGTGAGGGTGGAGCATCCTGAAAGTTTCGTCTTGACAGCAGATTTGAGTGGTCCAATGCGAGACGGCGGATCGGATACTAATGGACGAGGAGCTCACCCAAGGCCTCACAAATACCTCATGGTTGCAAAGCTGAGACTCCCTGAATCATATTTGCAAGGCTATTCGGCAGGCAAGTGTGATATGACTCATTCTTGGGACGAATCTTGGGTTTCAATTGAGCAAGATCCAGATGATGGTCTGGGCCTAGAGCCTAGATTGGAGCCTGTAGGTACTGGACCCATGGATGATCTGCAGCCGGATACCATCTCCGTAGATGTTCATCCTACTGAGCTCCCACTTGGAGATGAAGTTTCTGGTGAGCTATGTGATGTTGATCCGGTTACTGCCAACCGAGCCCAGGCGGATGATTTGCCTCTACAAGATCCCGTGGAGGCAATGGGTCTTCGAGATAGAGGTGAAGGACTCATTCCGGGTTTGGAGGAGGAGCATAGATCAGTGAGGGGAGAGTCAGTGGTGGATGAGGCAGAGTTGCTGGAAGTGGAGAATCAGGGCCCTGAATTTGAGGAGGAGCAGTCCCCTAAGGAAGAACGAACTGACTTTCATCCTCCCAAAATGGCCCGCGTGATCTTCGCGATCCCTGTTCCTGATGCAAAGTCTACCACTGTCAAGGAAGCTCTCCAGGACGTACTTCTGTATTTGCGTGCGCATAATGTGCCAGTTCTGCGCTTTCACTCAGACCGCGGCTCGGCATTTATGGCGCGGGACACGCGCCAGATGTTGAAAGGCTGGAGCTTGCGTGTGACCACAAGTGAGGGCGGCATTCCCCAAACAAACGGAGTAGCAGAACAAGGAGTAAAGTGGGTGAAGCAAAGGATTCGAGCCTTGCTGGCAAGTGCCAACTTGCCTCTCAAGTTATGGCCCAGCGCGGCCGAAGCAGCGTGCGCGATGCAGCGTGCCTCCTTGACAGGTATGACTTCAAAGCTGGCTGCGCCGTTCGGTGCAATTGTGCATGTCAGGAAGAGGCCATACACTGGGGCAGGCACCACGGCGAAACCTGATAGCTTGAGGACGCAATGGGCGAGAGGACATTATCTTGGCCTTTCCAACACGTTGAATAATGGACATGTCATCTATGTGCCCGCTGTGGATGATCAGCCGGAAGGGTTTATCCATACCTTTCATGTGAGAGAGTTGGTTCATCCAGGTCCCATGGAAGGCCAGTACTTCGAGCCTGAGCCTCCTCAGAGACCCAGCCGTAGACTACGGGGAAAGCAAAGTGTAGCTGTGAGACTAGAAGCAGTACAATTATCACAGATTGAAGAGGATCCTCTATGTCAGCTGCGGCACGAGGCCGAGCATGTCTTGCAAAATTGGGATTATGAGCAAGCACTGAATGTGTTGGAAAGGGCTTCCGTAATGCTGAAGGGGTCGGATTTCAAGATTGGCGCCTATCGGCATGGTGGAGTGACAGGTCTGCTAAAGGGCACGGAGAAGTACCCATGGCTTTCGAGGCTAATGGTGCGGTGCTTTCCCGAGCTCGATGATGACATCACTTTCACCGCGGTTTATATGTCCATAGACACCGAGCGAGATGTTCATGTAGATAAAAACAACCAAAGTGGATCCATGAACTACGTAATCCCGGTAGTTGTACCCAAGAGTGGTGGCGGACTATGGGTGGAACTCCAACATGGTGATCAGGTTCAGGGTCCTGTGACATCCAAAACAGACTCGGCAGGAAGACAGAGATTTGGAACTACATGTCCGTTGGAAAGGGGGCGGGTGATGCGGTTCGATGCTAGGCGGCTACATGCTACAGAACCATGGCGTGGATGTTGCGTGGTGCTCATTGCCTATACCCCTGCCTTGGTCCATAAACTGGATCAACAAGACATCACAAGGATGGTCAGGTTGGGATTTCCAGTTGAGAATGACCTCTCTGACAGCGAGGGCTTCGACGTGAAGGATCTGTCTAACGTAGGATCGCGCTTGGAGCGAGCTGGGGGGTGGTCGGAGGTACTACCTGCAGGTGGTACAAATTATCATTTCGATGTGTCTTGGAGGATCAGGGAAGAGCTGGGTCCTTCAATGGCAATGCTTCATGCCAAAGCAGTGGAGTGCATGGATGAGCTCGGGAAGCATGCGACAATTCATTCCTCTAGTGGAAGTGATAGGTGCCCTGGGTTCGTGGAGAATTCGGAATCGCGTACAGACACTGTGGTGGAGCCAGGTGTGAACGTTTCAATGTACAGTGGCGAGGTTTACCTCGACCTAAATCATGAGGGCGATGCGCCAGACATGGCCAAGTTGCGCATGGGTGAGGAGGAGAATCCAACATGGAGCAGGCCTTCGCTGAGTAAGACCGAAGTGCTTTACACTAAGGATATCGAGAGTGTGATTAGCTCGCTCAAGGGGCCTTTGCAAGTTGTCCACAACGTTGATCCTGGTGAAGTACTTCAGAATATCACTGCTTGGATTCCGGCTATCGAGAAGGAGCTTCAAGCGGTTGCGCGTGCCGTTGACAAAATTCCTCGAGGAGACCACCGACAACGGGATCTTCTTCGATCGGCTGAAGCGCAAAGGCTCCCGACGAAGCTCGTGTTCACCATAAAACCTGGAGATAGCCCGTGCGCAGACAACCCGGCTTCATGGTTCAAAAGGAAAGTCAGGCTCGTGGTGTGTGGGAACCTGGCGGCCACATCCAGCATGGACACGTATTCCGGGACGGCCCCGGCTGAGGTTGTCAGAATTGCGCTCGTCCTTGCAAACAAGTTCGGGTGGATTGCCGGCATTGTTGACATAGTATCAGCATTCTTACGGACACCGCTGGTTGGCGACAATGCACCTCAGATCGTGGTTCATCCTCCGAAGGTCTTGGAAAGAGCCCTACTGATTCCTGCAGGGGAGCTCTGGAAGCTAACTCATGCCTTGTATGGGCTTAGGGAAGCTCCTCAGCTCTGGAGCTCATATAGAGATGGGATGCTCAGACCCTTGAAGTTTGAGTGTCAGGGAGTGAGCTACAAGTTGGTTCAGGGTATCATAGAGACCTCATGGTGGACCATTCATGATGAGCATGGGGTAGTCACTGGCGTGATGGTGGTTTATGTGGATGACATTCTAATTTGCGCAAATATCCACATTGTCCGAGCCTTAGCTTTGTCGATTGGTGGCCTGTGGAAGACAAGCGAACTATCGTTGGTCACGAAGGGGTGTCCAATTCGGTTTTTGGGCATGGAAATAAATGTCTGCGAGAAGGGCGCATTTTGGATATCCCAGGTCGGATTCATAAAGGAGCTTTTGCGCTCCAAGGCAGTTCAGTCTCAGCAGAAGGATTTGGTGCCCATCACACGAGAGCTGTCGGCTTTGGAGTCAGTTCAGCGTGAGGACGAGGTGGACGCAAACTTGGTGAGGGATGCTCAGGGGGCCACAGGGGAGGTCTTATGGCTGTCCCAACGTACAAGACCAGACCTGGCATATACAGCATCAATCATGGCATCATTGTGCTTGAGATTCCCGGAGAGAACCTTGCAGATCGCAAATAAGGTGATGGGATACATTCAACGCACCATGTATTATCGCCTGAAGCTGGAAGCCTCAGAAGTCGTGCTGAGTTTGTGCACCGATTCTTCATTTGCTCCAGACTCATCCAGGTCTCACACAGGATGGGTAGTATGTCTGCAGGGATCGCCAATTCTTTGGCGAAGTGCTCGCCAGCCAACTGTGAGTCTTTCAACGGCAGAAGCTGAGCTCAATGCGACCCTGGAGGGTAGCATAGCTCTTTTGAGCATAGAGGCGTTGCTTAAGGACTTGGGCATTGTCTTTGATGAAAAAGAGGTCCTGACAGCTTCAACTTCAGCTTTGACCATCATGTCCGGCTCGGGCTCATGGCGAACCCGCCATTTGAGAATCAAGGCGCAGTGGCTTCAAGAGCAGATTATTTCGAACAAGTTTAAGATCGGCCATTGCAAGGGGGAGAGATTGATCGCAGACCTGCTGACTAAGGCGTTCAGCTCTGGAAGGATGCAATTCTTGCTGGATTTGTGGGGCATGGATGTAGATCCTGTAGAAACTCAGCCAGAAGCTTCACCGCCAGCAGCAGCTCAACTAAGCACGCAGCAGCAATCAACAACAACAACCCCCAGTAGACCTCAAATGGCTAGGGCGCTGTTAGCTCTTCTTGCATTGCTTCAGTTAAGGGAGTCAGAAGGGATGGAGTTGGTCCCCCAAGGTGAAGCTCCAAGGGGTATTCCTGTAGACCAAACGCTGTTGAACGTGTATTGGATGGCTATGGTATTTGTTGTGTTTATCCTTGGTTGGGAGGGCCTCAAGTGGCTTGTAATTATGACATCAAGAAGGGCAAGAAGGTTAGCACGTTTGAGGTGGCGAACTGCGGAAGTAGTGCGAAGGGAACTTCAACGGCTTGAGGAAGTCCCAGCAGCAACTGAATCAGACGTCCAGACTGAGCGGCCAGCTCCGAACTTAAGGCAGCGACGTGTGTCTACAGCACAAACGGGCCGCAGGCGAAGGACAACTGGGGATCAAGCGACGACTTCTTCATCAAGACCAAGAAGGCAAGCAATTGAGTCCCAGGAAGCTGAGGTTGCGCAAGCAGCATCATCATCAGCTGGAGTGGACTTGAGAACCGAAGGTCCTCCATCGGACTTGGAGGAAACTGTGGTTAGGGGTCTTTATACAAGACGCGAAAGGGGGCCTCCCATGCACCAATTCGTGCAGACAGATCCATGGGAGCCCCAACGTATTGAGATACCTGTGAGAGTAGAAGTGCCTGTAGAAATACCGGCGCGAGCTCAGCCACTCTTTCAGGACAGAGACCTGCAGCCATTGCAGGCTGGATTTACAATGTCACAATATGGCGAGCATGTCCACTTGAGTTCGACTTGTGAAGGGCTCAGGAATGCATCAAGGTTGAGAAATGTTCAGCTATGTCTCCATTGTGCTCAAACGGCTGAAATCTATGTGCGCCAACGGGCGTTCAGACGGCTCACTCCCCACCGTACAAGATGAGTGCTGAAAGGCTAGCGCTCTCAGCAAGGAGGAGTGCAGAAGCGTGGAGACTCGCTGGTCGCATGTTCGATGTGGGGCTCAGGGAAGCTACGGAAGATTCACCCTTGTGCCATTCACATTTGTATAGCTAAGGCTTATTGCCTCTTTCGACATCCCTTATGGGATTGACATTCTCAGCAAAGATCCGCATAGGGTAGAGCCCATGTGTGATAAGACTTTGTTCCGCTGTTGAAAAAAAAATTCGTTGAGCCTCATTAGCTGTGTGCCATGATTGCATAAGACAGTTGGGGCATGGAGATGAACTCTACAGATGCTGATCGATTCAGCATTCCTCACCCCCAGTAAGTTTGGGGTTCAGGGGAATTGAAGATTCGTGATCAGAAAACCTGCTGGCCGATCTGATAGCCTGCACGAGCAAAGGATTCCTGGGCGGCCGATGGGCCACCCATGCACTAAAGTTGATATAGGGATTATACTTTAGTGGATTAGATATATACATATATATATATATATGTGCATATCGATATATATAGGGTTATATAGGAGATTATAGGGTTTATATGGGGTTTATGTAGGGGATTATATAGGGGTTGTATACGGGATTGTATAAGGATCATGGAAAAGAAACTTGACATTACTGTATGAGAACAAGGTCAAACCAGGGTTATGTAGATAGAGTGGAAAACGCAAGCTACTTTCGTATAATAGGATCAAATCAGGGGGTTTTGTGGGTTCACACTGTGCGGCATGTGGACTTCAGGGTCACGGGTTGGGGGCTTGGGGATCTAGGATTGCTAGACCTGTTTGGACAACCGCGCATGGTTGACCACCAAAACCCTCGCTATTACACTTTGCAATCTGGTGCTGCATGCAGGGCATGTTTCTTGAAACAGAGAGTAAACCCGCCCGAACCCTACAGCCTTGCAAAGAGCATTTTGGTTCACCCAGAGCCTTAAACTCAGGGTCACCAATTTTAGCTGGAAAACGAAACTTCCAAACTTCCAGCACAGCGTCAAGATTACACCTGTGCTAAGTCAGAACTAGACTGGGCCAGGATGTGGGGTTATGGGCACCCTGACTCTGCTGTGGGCTGTAGAGTATACCTCTCAAGTATTCCATCTTCTCACGCTACTAAACAAGGCCTGTGGAGCGCAAACTCTGAGCGCATCACTACGAATGTCAGACGATATATTTAATCGTGGAGCCAAAGGCAGCTACTTTTGTTCCATCATCCTTCTCAACAAATGCAATCCCGGTGATGTAGCCAGTTAGTACGCCTGTTTACGCCCAATAGAACTAGCAAACCCAAACTTAACCCCCAAAATGCCACAACCGCAGCCACTAAACCCCATTTCCAACGAGACATTTCCCAGAAGAACAGATGCCTGGCCGTGAGACCAAAAGTGGTTCATCTTCCCATCAGCCACGTTGATCTTCCCAGGCTCCTGTGGCTGATATTGGGGATATAAGATTTTCCCAAGGACCCCAAATATCAGGATTACAATATTTTGGGGTCCATATTGGGTCCCCTGATTTTGGGAAACTACCATATGAGAATTTCCCGAATGAGGATACCGCTAAGCAAGCCACATGGGAATTTCTCAGAATAATCCCTGTAAACATCCTTTAACAGAATTTCTCAGAATAAACGCCATAAAGACCCCCATACAGACCCTTAATTAATGCGGACCCATAATTCTCTTCTACGCCCCACACATGCCTGCAATCCATAAAGCTTCCACCCCCCCCCTCTCTTTGAGAATCTTCGATATGGCGACATGGCCCTAGGTGTGAGCTGGTCCTGGTTGGAATGCCCGACAAAGACCAAACCATCCTAGGGAAGGGGGGAGGATTCTGATTTCAGGGTTTCAGGCTTAGGGATTCAAGGGCTCAACGGTAGGAGAGGGTTGGTGGAAGGTTTAGGCGTCAGGCTTTGTGCCTTTCGGGGCCCAGATTCTAGAGTTAAAAGGTTTAGGGTAATGGGAGGATGTCGAAACGGTTGCTTTCCGAGGCCTTGAGGGCTTGAGGGTCTTGCGTTCATGGCTGCGCGCCACCTAGCATGGGTCGGCAGAGTGGTAGAGAGGCAGGAGCAGAACAAGTGGTGGTGGTGGTGGTGGTGGTGGTGGTGGTGGTGGTGGTGGTGGTGGTGGTGGTGGTGTGGTGCGGTGGTGGTGGTGATAGTACTAGTAGAGTCCTCGCCGTCGCCATCATCGTAATCA